TTAATGTATTGAAGATATTCCAAATTCATTTTAATTTTCTTAAGAAAAAATACTACCTGCTTGGAAGTGTAATATCCTCATTATGAGATACTTGGAAATGTCACAGCAGTACAAAGGACTAAACTCTGCTTTTTAAAAGGCTTTATGGTTCAGGTAAGGAATGCTGAGTGGGAGAACAAACAGTGATTGTGGCATTTGTGGGCCCTGAGTTCAAATCCTGGCTCGCCCACAATCTTGTCCCTTAATTTGTCCAAATCCATTCACTCTTTGAGCTTTAGTTTCTCCTTGTGCAAAATCAAGCCAAGAAAAGCTGAACTAAAGTATCTTTAAGGACCTTTCCTACGCTGATGTGAAATAGAGTTCCAGTTTAGGCATTTCACCAACTCTTATATTCCTTGCAAAATAGTTTTGTAGGTAAATGTTCCTTCTTGCCTTTAACAGAGCCAGAAAAATCCTAAAAGAATTCATCCTGAATTCGTAACAACTATATGTGTATGTTCACTAATTTGTCCACATCCACCCATCCATCCAACAAATGAGTAACCTACTGTTTGTCAGGTGCTATATAGTCAGATATTATATTGTCAGATACTATTTACTGAGATACAGAATGACCAAGAAAAGATTCTTATAGCCAGGCCCTGGTAGCTTATGCCTGTAATCCTAGCTACTCAGGAGGCTGAGATCTGAGGATTGTGGTTCAAAGCCAGCCCAAACAGGAAAGTCCGTGAGACTCATCTCCAGTAAACCACTCAGAAAACCAGAAGTGGTGCTGTGGCTCAAGTAGTAGAGCACTAGCCTTGAGCTCAGGCAAGAGTTCAAGCCCCATGACTGACAAAAAAAAAAGATTCTTACAACCAAGGGTTTCCCAATTTAGTGTGGGAAACAGGAAAAAATATATATACATCCCTATTCTATTAACCTAGACATTACTATTGTGAAGTATGTCCTTGTACTTATATAGCATTTATTTAGCAAAGATCTACTAGACACCGGCCAGTGATGGGATGCGATTGTAGACAAGATAAGAGAAATGCCTTCTGTTTAAGGAACTTCCATCATATTGGATGCATAGACACCTATGCAAATGCATAGGTGCTCATAATCAGCTTGAATAACGTGTGTCCACGAGGAGCAGTTTTTTTGATAGCTTGGTGGTCATAGGGGTGCAGATACAGAGTTGAAGAAAGGCTTCAGCCCAAGAAAGGGTTAAGCATCCTCAGCTCTGGCTGTTAGAAATGCTTGGTTGTAAATAGCAAAGAGTTTGCTGAGTCGGCAGAATAACAAACAAGCGTCAATAAAGCCAATAGCGATGGCATTGATGGAGATCTTGCTAGAGAAATCCAGCCCACTGTTATAAGAATGATCACAGTTGAGGCTAAAGTAAACAGAGCCCAGAGAGCTGAGGTCAGTGACTTGGGAAGGTAATACAAATCGCTAAATCCTGGTGCTCATGATGAATGAACATCTATTCCAAGCTCGTGTTTTGTAGCTGCAGAAACTAATGCCCCATGAGGAGGAAAGTACTTGTGTCTCTGGGGTTAATATGTAAGTATAGACCATAATCCAGAGACCATCTTAGAATCAAGAGGAAGAAACTAATGTATTCATCATCAGCACACGTCTACCTGATCTGTGAGCTTTATTCTTCACTATTTATTCTTCCATCAACTCTGTGAGGTAGAGACATTCTTATCAGTCTGTTCTGTAGATGAGGAAACTGAGACCAAAGAAGTGAAGCAGCATACCCAATACTACAAAACTGGGGAGACAGAATGTGAAGCTAGAACTCCATTCTGCCTGCCTGTCTGCCTGCCTGCCTCCAGAACTGTGGGTGTTACCTTCTGCCTGTTTCCTGTTCTCCATGTGGCCTTATGGGGGTCGCTGTGGTAGACGCTTCTCTTCTCATTTGCAAAATACATATTTGTTGTATATTGAGTGACGGTAATTAACGATCCATTCTGACTCAAGGAAAGCTTGTTTAGTAAGCACACAGGAGGAAAGAGAAAATGTAGCAGCATTCTTTGGCGGAGATTTCTCACAGTCACCGGGATTTCCAAATAGTGGGAGTGGGAATGAACTGTACCCTTTTCCTGTGGAGTCACTGACAGGAGAGCTCGGAGTCTAGGTGCTGTGTTCTTTGTGTAAGAAAGGACTATCTTCCTTGCCCACCGCAGCCTGACTTCCTATCCCTTTTGCCAAGAGTAACCATTTTACCTCTTGCCATTTATGAATCATGAGGTCTGTGGCTTTTGGCAGATCATAAATCAGTCCTGAGAATCTCGAGGACAAATCCTGGGACTTTTAATCTTTAATATTAGATGTGTTTTAAAGTGGTGAATATTTCATGAAGAAGCTGTTGGCATTTTAATATGTCATTAGTGTCTCTTACACCTCCCCCCTTAGTAAATTTCTCCTGTCCGAACTTAAGGCTCTCCACTCATTCCCCTCATTTCTCTCACCTTTGGAAACAGTCAGTATAGTAGGTCATACATACAGCACACCCCCTGAGCAGATGATGATCATGGCCATGATGTCGGAGGCCAGGGTTATAGAAAGCAATCCTGCCTTCCAAGCAGCTCCTGATGATTTACGAAGTACCCAGAGAAGAGGAAAGGTAGCTCTCTCGCTCTTTCTCTTCCGTCCCTCTTGTCTTTCAATCATCCTGTGAGTATTTCAAATACCATCTCTGACTAGTTTCACTGCATACTCAGTCTTACCACCATATTAGTCTGACTAATATTTCTGAAGCTCAGGCTCTTTGCCAAATACTTGCTAGGTGTTGTTGGTACAAAGGTAAGCAAAAGCGAAAGACCTAGAAAAAGATGGAGTATATTCAAAGTTGGCAGTGTTTCATAGGTGATGGAATTATAACCTGTATAGTTCATCAGTGAAAGAGAAGAAGGTGATTCAATGAATTGCAAATATTTTGAAATTGGGAATTATGGGCAATGATTGTGAATTCATGTTCCCTTGCATCTCACTCCCTGTTTGGTTTGGGATGGACTAGAACAAGAAAATCCTGACTCATGAAATAAGTAGTTATAAATAATGTGAGCCTGTTAACATCTTGACTCACAAGCTCTAGGAAACCAAAATGACAGGAGGCATTTTATTATTTTGTCCTGCATTAAAAATAAGTTTACAGGGATCCCTGAATTAATGAGATGATGCTTTTTCATGTCCTGACTTCTGCCACTTGGTGTATGAGTATCTACCCTGCATCTTACTTACTGGTTTGGGTTTGGGTTATTTGTCTGTACTGGGAATTGAACTTACAGCTTCAAGCTTGTCAGGTAGGTGCCCTGTCCTTTGATGCATGCTCTTTAGTCCTTTTGCCTTTTCATCGTTTTGCAGACAGAGTCTTCTGCCAACTTTTCCAGGGCAGGCCCTGAACTTTGTTCTTGCTTAGTTTTGATATGTGGTCTCATTAACTTGGTCTTGCCTAGCCTCTAGCCACAGTCCTTCTATCTCTCTTCAAGTAGATAAGATTACAGGCTTATACCATCATGCCCAGCTTTCTCTCGGTGTCTCTTAATTTTTAAAGAGATTTTTTAAATGGAACACTTTAAGGAAATTTAAAGATTAAAATTGAAATGTCCCTAAGTCTTTCACATTAAATTAAACATATACATGTTGGGGTGGAAGGTGTGTGTGCGTGTGTGTGTGTGTGTGTGTGTGTGTGTGTGTGTGTGCCTATGTATGCATGTAATATGCAGAATATGGGAAAGAAGAGAATCAGAATATAATAGCTTGAAAACTTAACAGAGCCAGGCAATTATTCATTCCATTCACATTGTAGAGTACTAACGCTGCTCTAGGCGGTAGACGAAGCTCAGGCAGCTCCTAGCAGCATTTCCCAAGATGTGTTCCACAGACAGAACACTAATCCTATGAATTGTTCCACTAGCAAGTCTCTCAAAGTAAGTGTGAGGAAAGTTGTGTGCACTTTCCTCACAGAGAATCCCAGCCTGCAGGCTCTAAGGAATGGCACTGTGCTGTACTCTCCAATTGTTTGCTATTTTTTGTAAAGCCTCTGTGAACATTCCACAAACATGCCTTTGATTTAAAAAAAAATACTATCTACTTGAGTGTAAAAATAGAAACTCCCCTACCTTAAGAAGTACACAGAGAGTCAAAGTGATTAACAGCTCGAAGGCAGCCACTGGAGAGCCTTCTAGGATTTTGAACACTGAAGATGTTCTAGAATAGAAGTCTGTAGTGGGCGCGTAGAAATGAACTTGGCCACTGAGAGTGTATACTTGAACAGTTTGGGATGCTAGCTGTTTGAAATACTAGGAAACACTGATGCAACCATGTAAAAACATATCGGGAAACTAGAAAAAAAAGAAAGATGGATGAATGGGTGGTTAGGAGAACAGTGTTTGAGGAGCATGAGAAAGGGGAGGAAGAAAGAGGATAAGAGAGAAGAAGAAAGATAAGGAAAAAAGAAGAAAACAAAATTACAAGTTTTAAATAAGACACCAAAACCAAGTTAAAACCAAGAGATGATAGGCTAAAACAAAGTTCCAAAGGAAGATACCAAAAGTTCCTTGGAGGAAGTAGAATTTGAGTTCATGGATGAGCAAGACTTGATTATTCAAGTGAAGAAATTGTATGTTCTGATTGCATTTGTACAGTAAACTTTAAGGTAATGATTTGAAAATAGGCCCACCAGGTTACTTCTTTCCCTTAGCAAGCTGTGAACTCCTTCAAGGAATGGGTTGCACCTTTATTATCTATGTCTCTTGTACCTGAGCTGAGAACCAAAAGGTATATAGCCTGGACTCTGAAAGAACAAGGCATGAGTGAACCAATAAATGCCTAGAGAGATAAACTCTGTATTACCCACAGTGGTGGATGGACCCAATCACCCTGTCTCATGAGCTTTTTCTAAAACTAAGCAACTGATCCTCTTTCCCAGGAAAGCAAAAGGAACAGGGCACAGCCTATTTGGGGAAGTGGTGGTGTTTCACAAGATCCCTTTCTCTTACTCACAGGAGAATGCAGCTGTCATGAAGGCTTCGCCCCTGACCCTGTTCACAGACACCTGTGTGTGCGCAATGACTGGGGCCAAAGTGAAGGGTAAGTAGGGCAGCACAGCGGGGCGGGCACAGTGGATGCCTCATCCCCTCCTCCTACGTGGCATTACCAGATGCCCAAAACCACCCCACAAGCTGGGAAAAACACAATGCCTTCCCACTGAAGCACATTTTAATGTGAAAGGTACATGATGGATGAATCTTCTAGAAACAAGGGCTGACATTTAAGTCCCCCATCCAAACTGCAAATAAACAATGAATCTTCCCCCTCACTAGACTGAGAAGGAATCAGGTTTTCCTATCTATCTATCTATCTATCTATCTATCTATCTATCTATCTATCTATCTATCTATCTATCTATCATCTATCTATCTATCTATCTATCTATCTATCTATCTATCTATCTAAACATGGACAGGGCCAAGTGAACTTAATAAACGTGCTGAGTCCTTCTGTTTGGAGTCTGGGTTTGAATTCAGGGCATTGGGGCTTTACCTGAACTCAAGGCTAATGCTTTACCTCTTGAGCCACAGCACACTTCTGGCTTTTTCTGAGTAGTTTATTGGAGATAAGTGTCACCAACTTGCCTGCCCAGGATGGTTTTGAACCACAATTCTCAGATCTCAGCCTCCTGATTAACTAGGATTAAAGGCATGAGCCACCAGCAGCTGGCTAAGATACACACTTACAATCTAAAATGTCATATCAGGTAATTACTTCTGTGGAATTGATTGTTAAGTTACTCTTGAGCAGCGGCCATATACAGCTCCTACTCGATACTGACTAATGTCATCTCTTCCCTTTCCTTTTCCTCCCATTGTCTCACAGACCTTGGCCTTATACTACCCTGGAAAGGGGCTATGATTTGGTGACAGGAGAGCAGGCTCCTGAAAAGATCCTCAGGTGAGTTAACAGTCTTACTGGGGTACAGTGCTGGGTATTGGGGAGACAACTGATAGGAAAGTATCTCATGCGTCTTTAAAACATTGATCCTGTGATTACAGGCTGCATTGAATACAAGAGTGCTCTCATTGGTACTAATGAGCCATCATGGCCCAGGTTACCATGGTAATCCAATTCCCATTTGCTTGGGATATAGACTTACAGGCTCAGGGACAGTGGTTTAAAATATTCTGTAGCCATAAAGCCTCTTCCTACCACCCCCACGAAATCTTGGGTAAATCTTCAATATTTAAGCAGATAAAGATGGATGGTAAATTAAGTGGTAGACTGGGGAATTGAGGATTGGTCTGAAGTGACTTACAGTCGATGATCTTAACCTCTGTCTCAGACTGTTCCTGCTGACTTGGCAGTCACTTATACAACACCTGCTGGTTATCTGAACTATATGGAAGGCAGATCTGAAGTAGTCCCTTATCTTTTACTAAAGAATAAATACCATAGTTCAAAGCCAGCCTGAGCAGGAAAGTCTGTTAACCAATAGAGAACCAAAAGTGGCACTGTGGCTTAAAGTGGTAGAGCACTAGCCTTGAGAGAAAGCACTCAGAGACAGTGCCCAGACCTTGAGTTCAAGCCCCATGACTGACAAAAATAAATAAATAAAAATGAATAAATAACTACTAGCCATACAAAACGAGGCATGTGTTCAATGATAAAGAGATTTAAGAAATAACTATCCAAGTCTGGGTAAATCTGTGTACCATGGGATTTTATGTCTTTGGCGATGTAGGAGACTCAGGTGGGTGGAGGAGTTAAGTGTCCTAGAAGGGATGAGAAGAGGGGCCCCCTTTTTTCTGTTTGCTCTCTGCTTCCCAGGGAGTTCCCCAATGGAAACTCTTACATTGCAGGTCTACTTTCAGCTTGGGCCAAGGCCTCTGGCTTCCTGTGAGCAAAAGCTTTGTGGTTCCACCGGTGGAGCTGTCCATCAACCCCCTGGCTAGCTGCAAGACCGACGTGCTCGTCACAGAAGACCCCGCTGATGTCAGGTAGGGAAGTCATCTTCAAGTCCCTGGAGCTCTGGAAGTCCCTCTGTTTTTTCAGGATCTCAGAGTCCTACGAGAGAGTAAATCTCTGTGCTATGGGCAGAGAAAGCTGCCTGGTGGATGTAGGGAACATTGTCAAAGCCGCCATGCTCCTACACTTCTAGAGTACCTTATGGTACTCAGTCCCTTGGTTCCTTACATGTCAGTCTCAATGATCCATTTTGAGGGTTATCAAATATAAGACACTAGTGTATTATCTCACTCATTGTAGTCATGTTTTTAAAAAAACCATTACTGAACAGAACGTTGGAGCATCGTGAAGGCAGAGTTTCAAGGACATAATATCTTCCATTGTGACTGTGACACTGAAACTATGCTTTGAGCTAATCCATGACATCTGAGTGCCCAGGCAAAAACTATTTGGTTTTTTTTTCTTTACACAGAAGTGGATACTACATCTCTCCTTACATGTCTTGGTACCTTGCAAAGTAACTTTGTTACAGAGTCACTCTGCTGCTTTCTAATTAATTACTTACATATCATTGTGTCCCATTATGTGGTACACTTCTCAAGGTCACGGAAAATATCTTCTTTAGCTGTTTAATCTCCAGCTCCTAGTATATATTGGACATCTACTAAATGTTTATTGATCTAATTAAATCAGAGGGCTTAGATTTGATCTTACTACCATTATGGAGCCTTCTAGTAGAGGGTGTTTTTCCCCTCCCAGTTTGATTAATGGAAGCTTTCTAGAAACTTTGATGTTACCCAAATGGTTTCTAGTTTGACTTCTAACACTGGCCTGCACACATCTTATTGGTTTCTGAACTAAAATTAAAGCATGCTTCCCCTGACTTAGCAGTCAATGCTATTCTAGTACCTCACAGCTGTGTTTGAGTCATTCTGAATCAACTTGCAATTATTATTCTCATTTGTGTCTTGCTAGAAAGCCCCAACAACCATCTCTCCTGCTTTGCGATTATATATTCTCACCTTGTCACCTTTCTCTTGGAGCCTAACATGCTTTGTCAGGCTATTAATATTTCCCAAAAGCTTTGCTTAAAGAAGAATACATTAACAAAGGAAAAACATTTAGTAAATGAAACAGTAATTATAAAGAACTAAGGAACAAGTTGATTCATGGATGATTATGATTGTTTTCTCTTTTTTAAATATAATTGAAGTAGATGATACTTGAGTAACACCTGTGTGAAAATTTATATATATATATATATATATATATATATATATATATATCCTACCTTAAATATCTGGTTGATGGACCACGGTCCAAAAACCTTAATGACCTTGTCTGAAATTAGCAGCAAGGTAGCCTCTGCTAGTTCTGTGCTGGTGACATTGCATTTGTGATTTCAGCAAAGATAGAGCTGTTAGAACAGTTAATGATCACTCATTCTGGGTTGCAAAGGGCTGGGTAAGAATGCTGTCTCTCAGCCTGTGTGAGCAATATGATCTCAGCCTAGTTCAGCTTCTAAGTTTTCACTTCTTCCTAAAATGAGGATAAAGTGCTTTCTTCACAGAGTGTAATGGTAATACCTCATTTACATGGATCATATCCTATGTGCCTGATTCTTTGCAATATTTTCCCATCCATATATCTATAGCTAATAAGACCAATGTTATAATCCTTGCCTCAGCCCCATGAAGTGATGCTAAAATTTTTATTGTGCAGATTAAACGTGAATACATAAATAAATAAACTGGAAGCCTAAAGTGATGTTCTACTAGCAAATGATAAGCTAGGCATCACGTCCTGATCTGAAAGCAAGGATAAAAGATTGCTGTCATCTCCATTTGAAAGAGCGTGTAGTGAGGTGATGGAGTTTCCCAAGCTGCACTAATAAACCTTGTTTGACATGACATTACCCAGGCAAGCGTATCATGAGCATTTAGAGAATTAATAAGTCCCAGTCAGGTGATACGTTAAAATTTAATAAATAATAGATCATAATTATAGATAGCCAATAACAACTGCCATGGAATCATAAGAGAGAGGATTAGAGAAATGTCTGTGTGGAAAAGCAGAGCTGAAAGGAAACAGCGCTGAGCATTATAGAAGGATTGGAGAGAAAACCTCGGAGGTGAAGTGCAAGGTGATTCTTTGATATCCAAGTCTGTGATAAATCCTGGGGAGAGCATGGGAACTCACTCTAGCAGAGGCAATCTAGCTTGGTGTTGAAATGTATAATCTGTGACCCATCATGGTGCTAAATGTAAAACAACTAGTAAAGTTGCACATAGAGCAATGGGATCTTTAATCCCACATCATGGGGATATAAATTAGTGAGACCTCTAGGCAAAGCTGTTGGGCAGTATCTAATGAATGTAGTCAGACCATAAGGAATGTCTAAAAGAAACAGAAATCATAAATAAATAGAAATAATACTTACAAAATATTTATAGTAGCTCTCATTTTTGCTACCAAAGAGTTGGAGAGAACCTCACAGTCGTTCATCGACAAAAAGAAAAGCAGACAAATGAAGAGTAAAGTCATCCAAGAATGGAATATTATGAATAAGGAAAATGAAGGAAACTCAACAATCACATTGTGCCCTGTGGGTGAGCCCCAAAAATATAGTGTCGAATTATGGAATCTAGGCACAAAAGAATAAATAAGTTCATATACATTTGTCAGAAGCTTTGTTTTACTTAGTTAAAAAGCTTTGATGTTAGAATAAAGGATGGTTTTCCTTCTGGTTGGTGGAAGAGGGATTGTATGATGGTGGTGATCGTATTTCATTCGTGGTTCCCAAGAGCTTTCTGAAAAAATATATCAAGTTGCACATTTTTCTTTAGTGTGTTATACATGGGTTGAACTCAAAGTTCAGTGTTGAAAGTTACAAACTTGGAGCTGAATCACTTGAGTTCACATCCTCACCCTACTACTTGCTTACTAGGTAGGCTTTTCTGTAGTAGTAGTATTTCCCCTTGGCAATAATAAAGATAGAAGAATTTTTATATCCTATGAGGGAGAGGTTAAAATTACATGACCTAATGTATGTTGAGCAATGAATATGACAAGCATTTGCTCTCTAGAGATAATAGTTTGTATGCTTGCGGTGTTAGCAAAGTGAATTTTTCCATTCATTCTTTTTTCTTCATTGAAAGGCTGCATCCAACAAATGATGCAGTTTAAAATTAACAGTGTCTTACACTCTGAAAACATTACAGGATGGAATAGGAGAAACCCTAGGTCTCCTTGGCACAGGCCGAAATTTT